CCAGGGTCCCTGTGTGCATGACAGAGGGTGGTGCCGCAACCTCCCCATCGACCCTGCCTTGAGTGTGACAGGGGGCGGTGCCCCAACCCCCCAATTAGCCCTACCCTGAGCGTGACTAGGGGTGGCATCGCAACCTCCCAATCTGTTCTTTTCTGTGTATGACAGGGGGTGGCGCCCCGACTCCCCAGTTGGCTGTGAGTCAGACCACGGGCTGCACGTACAGATTGGGCCTGCCCTCTGCCACCTGGGAGCAGGCCAAAGCCAGCAGGTCATTATCTCCCGAGGGGTCCCAGACTGCAAGAGGGCACAGGCGGGCTGAGGGACCCCCCTCCCCCCGAGTGCACAAATTTTTGTGCACCGGGCCTCTAGTCTAAATTGAATCATTCAGTAGTTTATGTGACCTTTCGAGGTAGACTTTTCTCACTAAGCATAGGGATGTTTTTGTAGCATGTCTTGGTAGCCTCTTCCTATTTATTGCTCTTTATCTGTTAAAGGGCATTTTGGGCAATTTCCAGCTTTTTGTTACCACAAAGTTGCTACAAACCTTCATGAGGTTTTATGTGTGTTTGTAGATATAAATCTTTATTTTTCCAGAGTAGGATTGTTACGTCATACAGCAAGTGGGCAAGTGAACGATCAAGTTCATGAGAAATTGCCACGCTCTTGTCCTCAGTGGCAGCCCGGTTTTCATTGCCTCACCCCCAGCAGCGTGAGAGCTCCAGTCCTCTGCATCCTCTCCAGAGCCTGATACAGCCGGGGTCTTGTTGTTGCTTTGTTATTTTTCTGTATTAATAGTGTTATCTTATTTGGGTATTACTTTGCATTTTCTCATTGGATAATGATGTTGAGTATATTTTCTTGTTCTTATTTGCCATCTATATAACTTCCTTGATAAGGTGTCTGTTCATATTTTTTGCCTATTTTAATAGAATTTCCTTATTGTCAAGTCTGAGAGTTTTTTTACACGTTTTGTATATTCTTTTATCATATATGTGATCTACAAATATTTTCTCTTTCTGGGGGTTTTCTTTTTATCTTTTAACTAGAGGCCTGGTGCACGAAATTTGTGCACAGGTAGGGTCCCTAGGCCTGGCCAGCAATCAGGGCCAATCCAGGCCTTCCTTCCCCCTGCTGCTGGCTGCCGGTGGGG